ACGTTCGGGCGTTCGGGTTCGGGCGTTCGGCCCGTCCCAAACGCCGACAACCATGTATATATATATATATTTTAAACTTCTATTTTATATTTTAAATTTGGTAAATAATTTTGATGTGACCCTGAAGCAAAAATTGTTGAGTTTATTTTTTTGCACAACATAGTTTTTTTTTGGTTTTTTTTTTTTTTTTTGGACCTTCCATTGTCCTTGCACGGACTAGCAACTCGGGACTCGGGTGGCACGACTGATAGCCTAGATGTTATGAAAAAAAATAAACTGAACAACTTTTGTCTCAAGGTCATATCAAAAATTTTCACAAAGTTTATAATAAAAACATAATTATATATTTTATTGTTTTTGGTTCGGCTGGGCAAGTGACCTCGGGCCACTCTGGTAGCCTAAATATTTTACTATTTATTTCAACTATCATATTAAATTGCGGATTGACCTTTATCCCAAAGTTGTTTGAGTTACAATTATGCATGATTTTATTATTATTATTATTATTATTATTATTATTATTATTATTATTATTATTATTATTATTATTATTATTTATTTATTTATTTATTTATTTTTGCACAGGACATGAACCATGATTATGTTCGAACTTGGTTTCATAAGAGGTAACGTCGAACAGTCCAGTTGGTAGCCAATGTTATTATGCAACAATATGATTAATTTAGGAAATTCGTATTTATTTTTTTTCCTTTAATGTATGCACTAGGCTACCAAAGTGGCTGGGGACTTTTTGTTTAGCCCCCCCCCCCAAAAAAAAAACCTTAAAAAAATATAGTAATAAATTTCAACATAATCCTGAAAGAAAAGTTGTTCAATTTATTTTTCTGCATGACAAAGTTTTTTTTAATAATTATTATTTTTAGCTTGGAGATTTAATGATCATTACACGGTCGAGGATCCTGCGCAAATAAGGTGATTCAGGTGTCCCGACTGGTAGCACAGTGTATGCATAAATTTATTTTACTCGAAACAATATATGGATATTGAAGTTAATTAGATATAACATTTTCGATAATGTTAATTTTATTTTCTAATATATTATGCAGTTGAAGCTTGTTTAATTGAGAAGCTGATTTTTTTCTTTATCGGAGCATTAACAAAAAATGTTACGTGAACATCATTTGTTAATATAAAATAAAACCTTACAAAATATATTTCAATTAAACATATAAAAATAACTTATGCCTACAACATTGTTATGAATAAAGAAAAGAAAAAAAAAACCACTTTTTTTATGTATATTGATCAACCCTTTCCTTTACCAATTGTTCAATCTCGAACTTTAACGAAAAGCGATTTAAAAAAAAAAAAAAAAAAAAAAAAATCATGATTGTCACTTAAAAATATATTATATGCTCGCATTTGACTTCAAATATATCAACATGAGCCAACAGTATATGCAAAGTTTTTATAAAATCTTGAGGACCCGCCTTATACGATTGTTTATCATACTCAAAAGTTAAAATATTTTTTTTTGTACAACATAATAAAATATAATGACAAAATAAATTAATAATGTAAATAAAAAATTATTTTGTTCCTATTGTTTTCGTATATTTGTATCTTATAAGGAAAATTACTTCATGACCACAAAAAAATATTGGTTTGTTTATTTTTTTTCGGCGGTAACATGTGGTTTGAAGATAAAAATAAAAATTAACACTTTTTTTTTTTAACGCAAATGGCAGTAACACAAACTGACATTCATGTCAAATGAAGTAGAGTAAGAATAAATACAATTTGTTAATGTTTTATATTTTTTTATATTAATACAGTATTATTATTATTTAATTCTTTTTTTGACCATATCTCGATTTACACGTGTCATTCTTGCAAAGGGGTCATGCATAACTTCTTTATATCGTTCCACTTTTAATGGATGTCCTGAATGATAGTGTGTTTTTTTAACTGCAAAGATCCTTATTCTTAGTTTTTCCAATGTACTATATTTATATTTATATACATATATATAGGGTAACCGACGTTTGGGATGGGCCGAACTCCCGAACCCGAACGCCTGAACCTATGGGACCCCTTGGGGATGCGTTCGGTCGTTCGAACAGAACGCGGACCAAAAAAAAAAAAAAAAAAAAAAA